GTTCCCAGACACTCTTCCCAGGCACCGTCGTTCCCCTCCTGCTGCCCCGGCCGGGTGTGATCTCGCCTGGGTCTCACGTGTATTTCAAAACTTTCTGACTTGCCGGGAACACCCTCAAATCTTTAACCATCGTTTGGGCACACGTTATAGTTCCGGCGTGATCCAGGGCTAGGAGCTGAGCTCTGAAGCCAGTGGCCCCCTTTCCACCCTCACGGAGACCATGGCAAAGCAGAAGCAATGGGTTCCACAGGCGGTGACATGCCAGGAAGTACAAGCCGCTGGGGAGAGTGGGTGTAGGCAAGTCCTGAGGATGAGGGGGCGCTACCCAGGCCCCAGGAGAGAGCGGGCAGCCCGGGCAAAGGAGGGAGACAGCCCCGCCTCTGGGGAGAGCGAGCAGTGGTTCAGGATGACAGAGCCAGCCCGTGTTGGGGGGGGAGGGAGCAGAGTCACGGTGAGGCAGGGGGACATGAGTGAAGGGCTGCGGGCCTCACAGGTGACCGTCATAATGAAACCACCACCTGTCGGGGCACAGGGGGAGGGGGGGCTGTAGGAGAGCAAGGACAGTGCAGGGTGGGGTACCCAGCGCAGGCAGGAGACTAAAAGTGGACGCATCCTAGAGACGTTAAGGTAGACTCGACAGGACACAAGAATGAAACGGGTTTCAAAGATGAGAAAGAAGGTGGTGGGATCCAGACAGGGATTCAGGCTCAGTCGCACGTGGGGAGATAGACCAGCCAGGGCCCCGTGCCTGGGACCGTCCGGGTGGAGACTGGAGGTGGCTCTGGAGCCCCAGCCAGGGTCCTGGGTGGAGGTGGGTGTTGGAGGGAGGTGCCTTCTGAGGAAGGTGTCTGCTCAGAGCTGCGCGGGAATGGAGGAGATAAGGCCGGGAGGCGTCCGTGGGGCGTATCAGCGAAGGGACTGGTGACCTTGGGGGGAGCCCTTTCAAAGGCTCTCGGGGAAGGAGGCTGGATAAGAGGGTGACAGGCAACTGACAGGGGAGGGAGGGGTGGAGAGAGTCTTTTAGGAACCCAGAAAGGCTCTGACTGTGCCTGGGGCTGAGGGGTGAAAGGAAGGTTTTTATAAGACGGGAGGGACACGGCCAGGGGACATGCTGGTGGGGGACAGTGGCCGAAGACTAAAAACAAGATGGGGTGGGGATGATGTTGGAGACTCGGGGCGTCTCCAGGACCCCAGCACAGGGTCTCCTCAGACAGGAAAGAAGGCAGGTTGGCGGGGATCAAAGGCAGGAGGAGAGGTGGAGTGGGTGACGCAGGGCCCGGGCCGGAGGGGTGGGTGTGGGTGCCCTCCCATCAGCCCCCTGGGCCGTCAGGGCAGAGGCGTCGGCTCAGCATTGGAAGCCAAGAGCACGAGGGTGACGGCAAGCACGCCGGGGCGAGGGGGCGGGAGGAAGG